CTTCACAACCCACAAGCCTTTCCAGAATCCCCACTTTGCAACCGATTGCGAATGCTTCTTAGCAAGCGTATTAACTGAGAACGTCAACGCCGGGAACCTCCTTCAGCATCCGTTACAGCAACCATGCAGGTTGGCAAGTCTTGCTTGTTGCAATGTGGGCGTTCTTAAGCCGAATCCAAGACAAAAACATATACATGGACATGTATATATATATATATATATGTATGCCTATATGTTATATGTCTGTAACAGTGTCTGTGGTTGTAAAGTGGTCTGGTTGTAAAGTGGGGATTCTGGTGGTGAAGGGGGTTAATCTCCCCCCCCCTCCCCCCCCTCCGCCCCCCTCAACACGCATGCCGCAGCTTGAAAGAGTACTCGTTTTACTACTGGTGGTAGTACTTCTGCTACTACTACTTACTACTTGCGACTTACTCCTTACTACTTACTACTTACTCCTTACTACTCACTCCTTACTCCTTACGACTTACTACTTCCTACTCACTACTTACTGCTGCTACGACTACTACTACTCCTCCTACTGCTACTACCACTACTACTACTACTACTACTACTGCTGCTGCTGCTGCTACTACTACTACTACTACTACTAATACCACTCTGCCACTGCCACTACCGCTACGACGACGACGACGACTACTACTACTACTACTAGTACCACTACCACTACCACTTCCACTACCACTACCACTACTACTACGAGTACTACTACGACTACTACTACTACTATTACTACTACTACTACTACTACTACTACTACTACTACTACTGCGTGAGGGTTTGGTATCGATGATACCCTATATGCTCACCTCACCGAGCGTGTTGTAGTAGTTGATAAGTCTTGCCGATGTTGAACTCGTTACGCACCACAATGTCGCACACAGAGCCCTTGTTTTCGCTCTGCAATCGGGAATGGCTCGATCCTCAAAGTTGTCAAGTATCCACTAAGGAGGCAGATAATATCCTTGGACCTTTTGCTCACTTGTGAGCAATGGCATCTTGAGCCAATGTTGCGTT